TAGTGCTTGGAGGGCGGAGTCCAGTGGTCCTTACAGGCCACGCGGACGCTTCTTGGGCTGACGACCAGGCTACGCAGCGGTCGTCACAGGGTTACACCTTTAGTCTTGGTTCCGGCTCTGTCTCGTGGCGGTCTACTCGTTCGTCTTCGGTTCTCAGCTCCAGTTGTGAGGCTGAGATCTACGCCGGGGCCATGGCTGCACAGGAGCTTCGCTGGCTCACCTACCTGCTGACTGACCTTGGAGAGCCGCCTCTTTCTCCTCCAGTGCTGTACGTAGACAACAAGGCCATGCTGGCCTTGTGTCGAGAGCAGCGCTTGGAGCACAGAACGAAGCACATTGCTCTCCGCTACTTCCTTGCTCGTGAGCTGCAGCAGCGTGGTCAGTTGCGACTTGCGTACGTGGCCTCTGAGGCCAACACTGCTGATGTGTTCACCAAGGCATTCGCGCCTTGTGACCATCAGCGCTTCTGCACCCAGCTGGGTCTTGTGCCTGTCTTGCCTCACTTGCTCTCCTCTTGACTTTACTTGTACTATGACATATATATACCTGCTCTTGCTTGTCTAGTCTTCTATATATGTCTGTACTCTTGCTTGTGAACTGGCCTCTGGCCCTGCTCTTGTGCTCGGACTGTGTGGTGACTTTGTGATCCACCCTGAGCTTGCTTTGCTTTGCTTTGCTTGACTGGTCTTGTGACCCCTTGTTCTCCCCCACTTTGCCTATGGGGGTGTGTCAGATTACTATAGCTGATGCATGTTTGTAGGCTATAGTGGGGTAGCACATATGGGGTACAGCTTTCTAGGGTTGTATTTGTACCCAACCCTGACTTAGTCATTTCATTCCTGTTTGCTTATTATCACAGGTAGTACCGTATGGCCCCGGATAGTAGCGCATATGCGCTTATAAAAAATCATTTTTTTTTAGGGGGGGCGCTTGTAATTGAGCAACGGCCATAAGCGCCGGCGCTTATATAATGAAAGATAAGAAATTGTATATTTAGAGCACCAAATTGTTCATTTTCTTCTTGCCATTTCAACCGAGTCGAAATGTTATAGCGTCGCAAAGCAGAATCTCGCGCAAGCGATATTCTGGGTTCACACAAAGGCGAAGACACATCATGCCAGCACATCCTGACTGGACGCGAAGCCAGTCAGGTCTTCGCGAGTCAAACGAAGCGAAATTTAAATCTGACTCGCTGCAAAAATGTGTTTCGTTACCGTTTTAAGCAAGAAATTATATTAGATTTACACGTGCGCTTATAATATGTTAAGGTTTTCTAGGGGGGGCGCTTATAATCGAGGAACGGCCATAAGCGCCATGCTCCAGATAGAGGCGCCGGCGCCTTTAATCGGACGGCGCCTATATCCGGGGCCATACGGTAGTAAGCATTGCGGGAGGAGGGACGGGCTTTGCGTGGCGTTGATCGTGACTTGCGCAGGCATGGAGAGATGAGGGCAGCGAGCCAACGAGCGGCGGAGAGTGCAAGCCACGCTCGCGGCTGCATCGCAGTTGGCTTTGGCGGCGGCGGCATTTGCGGCACGGATGAATTGATCTGCTACTACCACTTCCCCTACTAGCAGTGGTGACGCGCCTCAAAAACCGACTACTTCCGCGACATGGTGACGGGGCAAGAGTTGAACACGTAGGAGAGGATGAGAGAAGAGGCTGCCTGGAAGGGGCCGACGAAAGCTGCTGCTGCGTTTTCGGTTCGTTACAAGTTTATTATTACCATAATAAACTTCGGTTTAGAGTGATCCATGTACACGATCTTTTCTTTCCACTAGATATAACGGCTATATCTATACGGTACGTTGTAAACACGTACGGTAGGGGGGGAAGAGGGGGGATTAAAACCCTAAAAAACATAGAACGATGCCAACACCTCCAGGAATGATACAAGGGCGAACAACTCGTCACCTACAATCCATTAACAATGGAAAAAAGGCATAGAAAAGATACGGTAGCATAATCTCAACGGCTCTTCCATGCACAATTTGTTAACCTACTCTTGACACTTATTATGTAGACACCATTCAAAGTTAGTAGCTCAATAGACCAGCAAGCTTATTACCATACATATATTACATGCAAGTGCTCAAGTAAATTGAGTCCCTGGCAAACCACATGTGGGTTTCAAATCAAATCTGATACTTCTCAATGTTTGGAACCTCTCCGTCCTTCCACTCTCCCTCTGTCAACCTGCTATCCCCCTCAGGCACTCGGCACGAGTTGCTTGTGTCCAGCAACTTGAGAAACCGAGGCAGCATGGCCTCCACCCGTTTGCTTGGTGCTAGTCTCAAGGAGCCTACTAACTCAGTGTTTACTGTAGACGGGCAGCCAGCTCCACTCTCGTTAGTATCACCTCCAGTTGCAGTTGTCCCCCTGTTGCTTGTTTCGGTTTCACCATGTGATGTGACTATGAAAGGGGTATTCACAGGAGCCTGCCTCCTGTGAGGGTTGCACGGTGCAGGGGATAGCAACCGCTGCAGCAAGCCAAAAATACCAACACTGCTGCTGCTGCTGCTAGTGGTGCCGCTGGTGCTGTCAGTGGTACCATCACTGGGTGGTGAGTGGAACGTGGAAGGCGAAGCAGTGGAGGCAGGGAGAGAGCACCAGTCGCCTGGCGTGATGCTGTCAGGCTGCCGCTGCAGCAGCTCCCTGCGAGCACAGGAGGGGGATGACGGGAAGAGGGAGTGTGGGGTTACAGGAGGATGGTAAGAGGGATGGGAAAGGAGGGAAACCGAGTCAGCGGAGGCAGGAAGAGAGCACCAGGCGCCGGGCGTGATGCTGTCAGGCTGCCGCTGCAAAAGCTCCCTGCGAGCACGAGGGGGGTGCGAAGAGGAAGGGTGGGGAAACGGAAACAGGAAGATGGGTGTAAAGAAGGATGGAAATAGGGAAGATGGGCGAGGGGGGATGAGATGGAAGGATGGGAAGAGGTGAGATGGGCTAAGGTGAGGTAGAGGAGTTATAGGGAGTGCCAATATGGGTAGTCCACTACAAATTAGTCAACTCCAGAGCAGTCAACTCCAGAGTAGTCAACTCCAGAGTAGTCAACTTCAAATTAGTCAACTCTAAATTAGTCAAGTCCAAATTAGTCAACTCCAAATTAGTCAACTCCGAATTAGTCAACTCTGAATTAGTCAACTCCAAATTAGTCAACTCCAGAGTAGTCAACTTCAAATTAGTCAACTCTAAATTACTCAACTCTAAATTACTCAACTCCAAATTAGTCAACTCCAAATTAGTCAACTCCAAATTAGTCAACTCCAAATTAGTCAACTCCAGATGAGTCAACTCCAGATGAGTCAACTCCAAATTAGTCACCTCCGAATTAGTCAACTCCAAATTAGTCAACTCCAAATTAGTCAACTCCAAATTAATCAACTCCAAATGAGTCAACTCCAAATGAGTCAACTCCAAATGAGTCAACTCCAAATTAGTCAACTCCAAATTAGTCAACTCCAGAGTTCTGTGCAGGTTCTGGTATGGTATCCATTCATTCACAAATCGTTGGACTTTGGTTAACTGGATTGATTCGGTTGACTGTGCAGACTGGATTGACTGGGTTAACTGGGCTGACTGGGTTAACTGGATTGACTGGGTTAACTGGATTGACTGGGTTGACTGGGTTAACTGGATTGACTGGGTTGACTGGGCTAACTGGGCTGACTGGGTTAGCTGGGCTGACTGGGCTGATTTGATTGACTGTGCAGACTGGGCTCTTTGATAGAAAGGCTTGATTTGGTTGACTGGATTGACTTGGTTGACTTCTGGATTGACTTGGTTGACTTCTGGATTGACTTGGCTGGCTTCTGAGTTAACTAGGCTGACTTGCTCATACCTGTCGATCTTATCCAGAGTTGGTGAGTCGCGAGGAAACTTCCTGGCAAAGAGGAAGACGCCACTGGTGAAGGCTTCGTAGAACGAGTCGTTCATCTCGAGGGAGTGCTGCAAGGGGGGGTGGGGTGGAGGAGGGAGAGGCGGGTGGGGAGGGGTGGGGAGGGGTGGGGAAGGGTGGAGAAAGAGCGGTTTAAAGGGGGTGAGCTGGTGAAGGCATCGTAGTACGAGTCGTTCATCTCCAGGGAGTGCTGCCATGGGGGGAGAGGGGGGGAAGCGGAGGGGGAGGAAGGGGGAGTCGGTGAATACAGGGGGTTGCAGGGGAGGGGAAGAGAGGGAAGGGATCAACTCAGAGCTCCACTGGTGAAGGCGTCACCGTAGGAGTCGTTCATCTCGAGGGAGTGCTGCCGGGGGAAGAGGGGAGAGGAGGAGGGGACGGGTGGAAGGACCCTGCAACGAAGGTGGGGAAGTCAAGGCTGGCAGCGAGCAGCGAGCAGGTGAAGCGGGGCAAGTGACCCCCTGTCACTATGCCAACACGAAGACATACCAAACTGCTCGTTGGCATGCCATCACACACAGCGAACCCACCGGGCTGCCCTTGGCGAAGGTGGGGGAGTCAAGGCTGGCATTGAGCAGCGAGTAGTTGAAGCAGGCCGAGTGAACCTGCCTCTATATCACCCTGTCACGCATTGCAAATGCCCTGCTGCGACCACAACCCCCCCTGATTGAGAAGGTGAACCCTCCGGGTTGCCTTTGGTCATACCATCGCTGGGAACGTAACGGGCTGCCCTTGGTAAAAATGGCAAAGTGCAGACTAGCTTTGAGGAGCAAGCGGTTGAGGCGGGGCGAGTGCCCATCACCCTGAGAGGTCCCCACCATGAGAATGCCATGCTGCCACAACCATTAAGGCGCCTCAAAAGGCAGGCCCATGGCGCACCGGGCTGCCCATTGAGCACACGTGTAAAGAGGTTATTTTTGAGACGCCTCAAAAAGAGGTTTTTTTTTAGACGCCTCAAAAGAGGTTATTTTTGAGACGTCTCAAAAAGAGGTTATTTTTTAGACGTCTCAAAAATAACCTCTTTGCCCATAGCGCACCGGGCTGCCCATTGAGCAGCAAGAGGTTTAAGCGAACGAGTGACCCTGTCCCCGTATCACCCCGCGCTATGCTACCATAACACCCCTGACGCCGGGCTGCCCTTGGCGAAGGTAGCGTAGTGAAGGCTGGCATTCAGGAGCGTGCGGTTGAAGCGGGGCGAGTGGGAGGCGACGGTGCTAAAGTAGTGCTCGTGCGAGTGAATGTGCTTGGGGGGAGCACAACACGCATTTAAGCACTGGGGAGGGCGAACGTACCGGGCTGCCCTTGGCGAATGTGGCGAAGTGAAGGCTGGCATTCAGGAGCGAGCGGTTGAAGCGCGCTGTCTGGCAGGCGACGGTGCTGAAGTAGTGCTCGTCTGAGTCGATGACGTCAGCCATGTACATGAGGATGCGGCGCGGCCAGCTGGCGGGCTCCCATAGGACGTAGCGCAGAAAGGGACGCGACGCCTTGATCCAGTTGCAGCCTGCCCAGTGTGGGTGCAGGGGAGGGGGGAAGAGGAAGGGGGAAGAGGAAGGGGGAAGAGGGGAGAGAGGGGAGGGGATAGGAGAGGAAGGAGAGATGGCAAGTCAACACGAAGCAGCAGGAAGGGGCGCGACGCCTTGATCCAGTTGCAGCCTAGAGAGTTGTGGTGGGGAAGGGAGGAAGGGGAAGGCGGGTGGAAGGTGCAGCAGAGAGTTCAAGCAGTGGGCTTCCATATGACATAGCGCAGGAAGGGCCGAAATGTCTTCATCCAGTTGCAACCTAGAGAGGGGCGAGTAGATGGGGAGCGGAGGGGGCATGCAAGGTGCAGGTGATGTGCACACAAGGACGAGGGGGAGGGCGGGGGAAGGGAGAGGAGATTGCTGCAGGGTACTTTTGAGAATTCTCAAAAAAACCACGGAAAGCGGAGAAGCTGAAGGAAGGGGCGAGAGGCCGTGATGCGGAGAGCGGAGGGGAGGGGAAGGGGGAGCGGAGGGGGAGTGGATGGGGAAGGGGAAGGGGGCAAGGAAGGTGCAGGTGGTGTGCTCCCATCACGGTGGAGGAGGGAAGGTTCTGCTGGCGGGCTCCCATAGGGAATCCTGTTGGCCTTGAAGGGGCGAGTCAACGCAGGTCAACACGGGTCAGCACAGGGCGACTCACCCATGAAAACATGGAAGCGAGTGGCAGCGGGCCGCACGTCCCGCATGAGCTTGTGCCCTCTGTGCGCCTGGAAGAGCGCCCTGTCCAGATTCACTGCACGCTGGCGGTAGCTGGAGGGGGAGGGAAAGAGGGGTTTGTGTGCGTGGTGGAGGAAAGGAGAGTTTGGGGTGGGGAGGGAGTAGAGGGAGCTTGTGCCCTCCGTGCGCCTGGAAGAGCGCTCTGTCCAGATTCACTGCACGCTGGCTGTCGCTGGCACGTAGAGGAAGGAGATTGGCAAGGGGGGATGGGGGTTGGGGGATTTGTGGAGGGCTTGAGAGGGAACAGCGCCCTGTCCAGGTTCACCGAAAGAGGCGGGAATCCCGATGAGCAAGGTGGCGAACACCTGTTCGGTTCGCCTCGAACGTGTTCGAGGCGAACCGAACAGGTTTTGTTTTTTAGCTCAAATCGTTCGCCGAACAGTGTTCGATGTTCGCCCGAACACGTTCGTGTTCGGGCCGCTGCTGAAATTTGCCCGCGACGAACACGAACAGTGTTCGAGATTCGCCCGAACACGCCTCCACAGGCGTACAGCGGACACCTGTTTTTTCCTAAACTGTTCGCCGAACCGAACAGTGTTCGGTTCGGCAAAAGAGGGTGTTCGACAAGGGGCGAAGACGAACATGTTCGTGTTCGCCCTTTGCTCATCCCGCCGCGGGATTTGGAGTGGCGGGGGACGCGGACTTGTGGCGGGCGAGAAGGGGAAGTGAAGGGAGGGGCGGTGGAGAGTTGGAGAGTGGCGGCATGAGGTGTTGGAGCTAGTTTCATTCGCGCCCTGTCCTTGGTTCTGTCCGGGGTAGGTGGGGAAGGGGAAGGAGAGAGGACGGCAGGAATGGAGATTTTCTTGTGCAGACGCATAAGGGTTCGTTGCATGGTGGCGGCACGTGGGGGTCCAGTGCATTGAGAGAAGCATGCTTGAGAGACTTCATAGTCGACTCGAATTTCACAGTAGCTACTTCGGCCACTGGAGGGAGGAGTTATGAAAAGCAAGGCGGGTATATCAAGAAACGCAAGAGACGCAAGGGGGAGGGGAAGGTGATGGTAGGGCGATGACGAACGGCAATCTGTTTCAGTGTGAATGTATAGTCACTGTCGCATTAACGACGTGTAACATGGGAAACCAGACAGATACAAGCGCGTGAAAACGGACGAGTACATGCGTCTGACTATAACGGGGACACAATAGCAGAACCACTCACTCGAATCGGTGCTCGACGCTGTGGTCCATGAAAGAGTGGTTCCGGTCCGCGTGCGAAAGAAGAGTAAACGCATGTGGCTATAACGGGGACACAAGAGTGACTCACTCGAATCGGTGCTCGACGCTGTGGTCCATGAACGAGAGGCTGCGATCTACGTGCGAAAAGAGATAGAGCATGTCTGGAGAGTGAGGTGGGAAAGTGAAGGGGCGGGGTGAGGGTGGAGAGAGCAAGCTTTATGAGTGATCCACGTGCAAAAACATAATCATCATGTCTGGAGAGTGAGTGTGGGAGGGGTGGGGGTGAGAAGGGTGAGTACGTTGCCTAGAATTCACCTGCGAAAACAAATACAGCATGTCTAGAGAGTGAGGCTTGTGAGGGGAGCAAGAGGGAAGTGTGAAAGCAGATACAGCATGTCTGGAGAGAGAGTGAGGGTGAGGAGGTCAAGTATGTTTTTAGAAAGGCGCCTCAAACCTTAATTCACGTGCGGAAAAAGATACAGCCTGTTTGGAAAGTAAGGAAAGTGAGGGTGAGGGTGAGGAGGGTGAGTGGGTGAGGGGGGTGAAATATGGTGCAGAGGAAATGAGCGCGCGTAGGCGAGGGCTGAGCCTATTACATCTTATTCGCCCGTCTTGTGGTAAGAGATCACGGAGAGTGCTTCGCGCCATTGTGTGAGTGCGAGGCACGCGCGAGGACGTGAGAAAGAATCAACAAAATAACCCCCGGAACGTACCAAAGCTTTTCGTTACACTCACCGTCTTGTGACATTAACGGGTAGTCCGCAGCGCTCAGGTTGATGAACCAGTCCCACTGCGCGCCGCTCGCTATATGCACATGCGCGAGGCGCAGCGTCGCGGACAGCAGCGTCGACCCCTGGTACGTGACTACTTCGGGGTCCGGAATAACGACAACATTCGCGCGGCTCGACAGCGCGGGGTGGGCTGCAATTTTTGTCTTTAGCGCGAGAGTTTCCTCCGGGTCGTCGATATGGACGGCGTAGTGGTTCAACGGGTGGTAGATGGCGAGTAGGAGGCGCACGACGCGGGTGCTGTCGTTTTTCGCGCCGAGGATGCCGTACGCCAGGCGAGGGGTACCTCCGCCGCCCTTTCCGCCAATTGGACTATACGCGCTGTCTTTTTCCCGCCACCATTCCGCCGCTTCCCCCGCCGCGGCGCTCTCGCCGCCGGCAGCGCCCGCGCCACCTGCCGGCCGTTCGACTACAACCGACACGGACGGCTGTAGCGCCCCTACGGCCTGCAATCCCCCGCCGCTGCTAGCGCCGCCCGGCTGTAGCCCCGCGAGCACGAGCGCGTCGACGGCGTCGCGGTCGGGCGGGCAGGCGGGCCAGAGGCGGGGGTTGGCGGAGAAAAGGAGGAGATTTCCGAGGAGAAGCGCGCCGAGCACGATGGCGGGGAGCGTGCAGCGGAAGGCGGAGATGACGTGCGCGGAAGCGGAGTGCGCGGAGGGTTTGGCGGAAGGGGAGAGCTGATGGAAGGGGTCGCGCGGGGAGGTGGCGTTTCCCTCGGGTAACCAGCCCATGGCGAGAGGTGAGCGAAGGTGGCTGGAAACGAATTCCTGCGAGATGCTAAGAATGACGTCCGTGGGGTGACCAAATCATATGAGACTGCAGTGGGAAAGGCTGGGAAATATTACGCGGGGCTATCGGGTGGAAAAGGCTGCGAAGCAAGTTTCGCTCCTGAAACGCACAACTTATCGCAATCGAGCGTGATTGCGCGCGATCGAGGAGCTATTCACAACATTTCTAATAGCATCAGCTCATCTCAACGAGTCTACAGATCCGCTGCTGAAACATCCTGGAAAAATCAATCCGTTCGAAATGTGTTGGTTTGACGGAAATAGAAGGTCTAGTCGACGACTAGAGAACTTGCGCCGGTTCGGTGGGCGTCATTTGCACATGCACTCTCAAGTTGCTCCTGACTTCGAAATTACGGGCTGTCGGAGAACCGTAGCCTGACGTATGTCACTTCGAGTTCTCATGTTTTAGATTGTCGACGTCTTTGCACACTACAACTTGACCCACCCTGGCTGGGCAAGGAGCAAGAGTTTGTATGAATCACTGGACTGAGGATGGCGAAGCGTGAACAGTGAATTATTATTTCTAGACTCCTCACGCGATGTGAAGTATGCGTGCTTCGCGCTGCACGCAGCCTGTGTTAAAGCAAGGGCTCCACAAAACCCTAGGCAGAACTGGTCTATTCCAGGGCAAGGGAGCAAGATGTGGTGGGGCGATTTCAATCAGGGGGCAATGAGGGGCGATTTTCGTGACGAGAGGGGCGAGGGGGCGGTTTGTGTGGTTTTTGTTGGACGAATGTCGTGCCGCGAGGGGAGGAGGAAGGTTGAGGGGGTGAGGCTGTACCGCTTTGTAACACTTTGTAACTCATCTGATCGTACGAGAACGCACAGCACAACCCAAATCACAAGTGTCGTGATGGCGGGCTGACATGTCCTCCTTGAAATGCCAAGGGTTCAACGCGACACGAGGTTCCTGTCAAGCCAATCAGGCTTTACCCGAACCGGGGCCAGACATGAACATGTGCCATTGAATCATGTACGCTAGTATAGAGGCTGGGAAGAAACGTGTTCTGGGCAGCTAGACCGAACCTTGACAAGGTATGGTAGGCATGTCCCAGGTCTGCCCGGGGCTCAAGGTAGCCGAGTTCACCACAGCACCGTCTGGTCTCTTCAACCAGACTTGATAACAGGCTCGTCAAACGTTTTGTTCTGCGAATCTCAGCCACGGAAAATTCAGAACGAGTCGCTTGGTTGGGCACTCGGTTCGGCAGAGTCGTGACTCCCTGACTTGTCTAGAATATGTATAAGAGGTATATGCCAACGAAACCAGCAATTCTGTACTAACTGAAGCAGGGCTATATCGAGCAAGAACAGGCTCTCGCTAGCGCGTTACAGAACCACTCGTCTCGATTCAGAACGGGGTTCCATATGCTTTCACTGCCTATATAAACTTCACTGTAGCTATCTGGGTTTGGTTATCCGAGCGGTGGTTGCTTGTGACGAGAGATTTCAAGACAGAAAGCTAGGGTTTGGTTCTCTTTGAGCGTTGCTAGGCTCAGATACCCACCAGCAAGGCCTAGTCCGACCGTCCAGTGATTCTGTCTTAACCAGCGCGATTCGTGCCCCGCCGTTTGTTAACTGTTAAAATCTATCAGGGATTTCGGTCTTACTGATCTGCAGCCATGCCGAAGAACAAGGGAAAGGGAGGTAAGAACAGGAAGCGAGGAAAGAACGAGGCCGATGACGAGAAGCGCGAGCTGGTTTTCAAGGAGGATGGGCAGGAATACGCTCAGGTGATGCGTATGCTCGGTAACGGTCGCTGCGAGGCGCTTTGCATCGACGGGATTAAGCGGCTCTCCCACATCCGAGGCAAGATGCATAAGAAGGTGTGGATCGCTGCAGGAGATATTATCCTGGTTGGGCTGCGAGATTACCAAGACGACAAGGCCGACGTCATTCTGAAGTATCAACCGGACGAGGCGCGCCTTTTGAAGGCGTATGGAGAATTGCCGGATAATATCAGGTTGAACGAGGGTATTGCCGGAGGCATGGACGAAGAGGGTGAAGACGGCGGAGATGACTATATCGAATTCGAGGATGAAGACATTGACAGGATATAGAATTGTGACCATGACGGGCGGATGCAGGCCCTGGTGCATAGCAGCTGGTTTTGGGGATTATGTGGAGCTATAGATGACGTATAGTTTTTCAATGTTATGATTTTGAGGGGTTCTTTAGGTTGTTTCTTACCTGATGTTCAGCCACGGACGCGGGGATGCTTATAAAGCTCCATGAGTGGGCTTCTTGCCCTCTTGTTGTAAGACCTGTTAGGGCGTATAACATTTTTGTCACCATGAAACAACCATGTGGCAATTGTAGAAAGTAAATACGGTATCAGCAGGGTATTGGTTTTTGGGTACCCTGAGCACAGTGTCCCTTGGGATAGTAACACTTATCTTCAGTGTCGTCGGTGGAAAAACCCTGTTACCTTAATTCAGGGTTCAAACACAAATAAAACTGAGCAATCAGTCTGCCTAAAAGTAGAACACTGATCAGCATTATGATTAATATCCTAAGGATGAGGAATTACGCCATTGTTTCCAACGTTTCCGATAATAAACACATAAAACATTCACATTTCATCATCATCGTCATCTTCGATCAATGTCATGTGCACGGGTGCTATACCACAAGTGGTGCGTTTCAGGAGCGAAGCTTGCTCCGCAGCCTTTCCTACGCAAAAAGTGGGGACTTTTTAGCCCCGCATAGCATTTCGCAGTCCCATATGATTTCGTCACCCCACCCACGTCAGTCTCAGCAACTGGCAGGAATTCGTCTCCAGCCACCTTTCGCACAGCTCCCCGAGGAACACGTGTGCCGTAACCATGGGCTGGTTACCCGAGGGAAACGCCACCTCCCCGCGCGACACATTCCACCAGCTCTCCCCTTCCTCCAAACCCTCCGCCCACTCCGCTTCCGCGCTCGTCATCTCCGCCTTCCGCTGCACGCTCCCCGCCATCGTGCTCCGCGCGCTTCTCTTCGGCGATCTCCTCCTTTTTCCCGCCAACCCCCGCCTCTGACCCGCCTGCCCGCCCGACCGCGACGAGGTCGAAGCGCTCGTGCTCGCGGGGCTTCAGGCGCGCGGCCGTCCGTGTCGGTGGTAGTGGTTTATCAACCTGAGCGCTGCGGCTTACCCGTTAATGTCACAAGATGGTGAGTGAAACGCGACGCTTTGGTAGGTTGTAAGGGGTCTTTGGTTGACCGCTTTCCCCCCTCGCAATCGCTGTTCTCCCCCACAACTTCGCCTCTGACCAATGCAACTTGGCCGCGCGTGCTTCGCACTCACAAATGGCTCAAAGCACGTTCTTATGCACTCACGACGACCGGCATTATGAGAACGTCGCTGCACTCGCTCTCCATTCCTTTGATCCATATCCCAGCCCCTACCCACCCCTCATCCTCCTCCTCACCCGCCTCGTCCCCATTCTCCTCACCCCCTCACCCTCTCTCTCACCCTCTTCGTTCTCACTCTCCCCACTCCCCTCACACTCTCACCCTGCTCTTCCCACTTCTTTCGCACTCTCCCTCCAGACATGCTCTCTCTTGTCGCACGTGGATCGCAGCCTCTCGTTCATGGACCACAGCGTCGAGCACCGATTCGAGTGAGTCGCCGCCTGGCCTCGTACGAGTCTAGTGTCCCCGTTATAGTCACACGTTTGTACGCGTCAGTTGTAACAATCCTTCGTGACTGCTTCATCCTACACATCGTTACTGTCACAGTGACTATATTCACACTGCAACGGATTGCCGTTCCGCATCTCCCTACCTCACCTTCCCCTCCCTCTTGCGTCTCTCTTAGAATGCCCGCATTGCTTTTCATACTCCCTACATTGGCCGAAGTATATATTGCGAATTTCGAGTTGACTAAGAAGTTTCCCAAGCATGCTTGTCTCAGTGCACCTGCCTGGAACCCCACATGCCGCCACCACGCAATGAATCTGGCCGAGTAGGCACAAGGAAACTTCCCCTCCCCCCGTTTTCTGTCGTTCCCTTTCCCCACTGCCCCAGACAGAAGCAAGGAAGGGCACGAATGAAACAAGCTCTAACACCCCATGCCGCCACCCCCACTCCCCTCCCCCCTTCCCCCTTCCCCTCCCGCTTCTCTTCCCCTTCCCACGCCCTCCCCCTCTCCCTTACCCCTTCACAAGTCCTAACACCGCATCCCGCCCCTCCCGCCTTCCCCCTTCCTCTGCCCGCTAGCTACCAGCAGCGTGCAGTGAATCTGGACAGGGAGCTCTTCCTTTCCAAATTCCCCACCCTCCTCCACACACACTACCACCCACACACTCCCTTCCTCCCTCTGCCCACCAGCTACCGGCAGCGTGCAGTGAATCTGGACAGGGCGCTGTTCCAGGAGCACAAAGGGCACAAGCTCATGCGGGACGTGCGGCCTGCTGCCACTCGCTTCCATGTTTTCATGGGTGAGTTGACCAGTGCTGACTTCTGTTGACTTGCGTTGACTTGAGCTGACCTGAGTTGACTCGAATCGACTTCAACGCACGGTGCTCATGCGGGATGTGCGGCTGGCTGACCCGTGTTGACTCGAGTTGACTTGAGTTGACTTCAAGGCACAAGCGCATGCGGGATGTGCGGCCTGCTGACCCGTGTTGACTCGAGTTGACTTGAGTTGACTTCAAGGCACAAGCGCATGCGGGATGTGCGGCCTGCTGACCCGTGTTGACTCGAGTTGACTTGAGTTGACTTCAAGGCACAAGCGCATGCGGGATGTGCGGCCTGCTGACCCGTGTTGACTCGAGTTGACTTGAGTTGACTTCAAGGCACAAGCGCATGCGGGATGTGCGGCCCACCCTTTCCACCCCTCCACTCGCACCTCTCCAGGCTGCAACTGGATCAAGGCGTCTCGCCCCTTCCTGCGCTATGGGAGCCCACCTCTTGACTTCTCCGCTGCACGTTTCAACCTTCAACCCTCAATTCACTCCCCCTTCTCCCCTCCCCCTCCCCACCCCCCCCTTTCCCTCCCCACCCTCTCCTCCAGGTTGCAACGATCAAGGCATCGCGCCCCTTCCTGCGCTACATCCTATGGGAGCCCACCGCTTGAGCCCCCGCTCCACACCCCCTCCCCTCCTCTCCCTCCAACAGGAGCCCACCACTCGTTCCTCATCCAGTGAGTCCTATGGGAGCCCAGCGCTTAAATCCTCCTCTTCACCTTCCATCCCCCCCTCCCCTCCCCGCTCTCTAGGCTGCAACTAGATCAAGGCCTCTCGTCCCTTCCTGCGCTACGTCCTATGGGAGCCCGCCAGCTGGCCACGCCGCATCCTCATGTACACGGCTGACGTCATCGACTCAGACGAGCACTACTTCAGCACCGTCGCCTGCCCCGCGCCCCGCTTCAACCACTACCTCCTCAACGCTAGTCTCCATTTCGCTACCTTCGCCAAGGCCCAAGGGCAGCCCAGTACGTATTAGTGTGTGGGTGGCAGTGGGTGAGAGGGCTACTGTAGGTCACCACCCACATTGACTCGGATGAGCACCGTGGGGAGCACTGCTTGAGCTCCTCATGTCATCGACTCGCACGAGCACTACTTCAGCACCGTTGAGTGCCAGACAGCGTGTTTTAACCGGTCCCTGCTGAACACCAGCTTGCACTTGGCCACCTTTGCCAAGGGCAGCCCGGTAACTTCACCACCCTCCTGGCAGGGGTAGTGGCGGTGCTAGTGGCAGCTTGGCATTCTCACGGTGCATCTCGGAGTGATGGTTAGTGACATCTCGGGGTGATGGTTAGTGACATCTCGGGGTGATGGTCAGTGACATCTCGGGGTGATGGTTAGTGGCATCTCGGGGCGATGGTTAGTGGCATCTCGGGGTGATGGTTAGTGGCATCTCGGGGTGATGGTTAGTGGCATCTCGGGGTGATGGTTAGTAACATCTCGGGGTGATGGTTAGTGGCATCTCGGGGTGATGGTTAGTGGGATCTCGGGGTGATGGTTAGTGGCATCTCGGGGTGATGGTTAGTGGCATCTCGGGGTGATGGTTAGTGGCATCTCGGGGTGATGGTTAGTGGCATCTCGGGGTGATGGTTAGTGGCATCTCGGGGTGATGGTTAGTGGCATCTCGGGTGATGGTTAGTGGCATCTCGGGGTGATGGTTAGTGGCATCTCGGGGTGATGGTTAGTGGCATCTCGGGGTGATGGTTAGTGGCATCTCGGGGTGATGGTTAGTGGCATCTCGGGGTGATGGTTAGTGACATCTCGGGGTGATGGTTAGTGACATCTCGGGGTGATGGTTAGTGACATCTCGGGGTGATGGTTAGTGACATCTCGGGGTGATGGTTAGTGACATCTCGGGGTGATGGTTAGTGACATCTCGGGGTGATGGTTAGTGGCATCTCGGGGTGATGGTTAGTGGCATCTCGGGGTGATGGTTAGTGACATCTCGGGGTGATGGTTAGTGGCATCTCCGGGTGATGGTTAGTGGCATCTCGGGGTGATGGTTAGTGACATCTCGGGGTGATGGTTAGTGGCATCTCGGGGTGATGGTTAGTGACATCTCGGGGTGATGGTTAGTGACATCTCGGGGTGATGGTTAGTGACATCTCGGGGTGATGGTTAGTGACATCTCGGGGTGATGGTTAGTGACATCTCGGGGTGATGGTTAGTGGCATCTCGGGGTGATGGTTAGTGGCATCTCGGGGTGATGGTTAGTGGCATCTCGGGGTGATGGTTAGTGACATATCGGGGTGATGGTTAGTGGCATCTCGGGGTGATGGTTAGTGACATCTCGGGGTGATGGTTAGTGACATCTCGGGGTGATGGTTAGTGACATCTCGGGGTGATGGTTAGTGACATCTCGGGGTGATGGTTAGTGACATCTCGGGGTGATGGTTAGTGGCATCTCGGGGTGAAGGTTAGTGGCATCTCGGGGTGATGGTTAGTGGCATCTCGGGGTGATGGTTAGTGGCATCTCGGGGTGATGGTTAGTGGCATCTCGGGGTGATGGTTAGTGGCATCTCGGGGTGATGGTTAGTGGCATCTCGGGGTGATGGTTAGTGGCATCTCGGGGTGATCGTTAGTGGCATCTCGGGGTGATGGTTAGTGGCATCTCGGGGTGATGGTTAGTGGCATCTCGGGGTGATGGTTAGTGGCATCTCGGGGTGATGGTTAGTGACATCTCGGGGTGATGGTTAGTGGCATCTCGGGGTGATGGTTAGTGACATCTCGGGGTGATGGTTAGTGACATCTCGGGGTGATGGTTAGTGACATCTCGGGGTGATGGTTAGTGACATCTCGGGGTGATGGTTAGTGGCATCTCGGGGTGATGGTTAGTGGCATCTCGGGGTGATGGTTAGTGGCATCTCGGGGTGATGGTTAGTGGCATCTCGGGGTGATGGTTAGTGGCATCTCGGGGTGATGGTTAGTGGCATCTCGGGGTGATGGTTAGTGGCATCTCGGGGTGATGGTTAGTGGCATCTCGGGGTGATGGTTAGTGGCATCTCGGGGTGATGGTTAGTGGCATCTCGGGGTGATGGTTAGTGGCATCTCGGGGTGATGGTTAGTGGCATCTCGGGGTGATGGTTAGTGGCATCTCGGGGTGATGGTTAGTGGCATCTCGGGGTGATGGTTAGTGACATCTCGGGGTGATGGTTAGTGGCATCTCGGGGTGATGGTTAGTGACATCTCGTGTCGGAGATCTCCTCTTTCTCACCTCACCCCTTGGCTGCTTCCTCCCTTGTCCTCTTACCCTTCTTCTTTCTGCACTTCCCTGCCTGCCTGCAGACTTTGCGTGCCTCGGCCTCAGCCACTACCAGAGAGAGATTCCTACCCCCACAAGCTGGCTGCCCTCAGTGGCGTATCACCTAGCTGCCGTAGCCTTAGAACGGTGAATTGAATCCACTATAGTAGGCAAACAAAACGAGAGAGCAGGTTCTAGTGTCTAGGCTAGGCTGCTTTATTCCCTACCCAGAGTCACGACCATTTCCATGGCCTTGGGTTGGGTTCGAGTCGCCATGTGCCTTACTGGTTGCTTGCAGATTCCCTGCTCCTCGAGGCGCTTGTAGCTCTTCCCAATGTCCCAATTCCCCATGCTACCAACTTCGCGTCATTCCCTTGAAGCTCAACAACCCCTCTGTAAAGTTGCATAACCCCAATCCTACACCTCACTACACCAACTATAGCGTACAACCAAATATATTGTTCTTTACCACTGTATTTGGTGACAGCTGTCGGAGATCTCCTCTTTCTCACCTCACCCCTTGGCTGCTTCCTCCCTTGTCCTCTTACCCTTCTTCTTTCTGCACTTCCCTGCCTGCCTGCAGACTTTGCGTGCCTCGGCCTCAGCCACTACCTGCCCCCTCCTGTGCCCGGTCTCGGGCTGCCCGTGCCCGGGTCACAGGACCCTCTCGCTGAGGCCCTCGTCCATTCACCGCCGCAGCATTAGTCTGATGATCCACCGTCTTTTCCCCCTTGTCGTTCTCCAGCACCAGCACTCCAGACCCTCTCACCTCCTTCACCTTCCATCTCTGCGTTCCTAGCCCCACGTCCAGCGTATCCCTCTTTGCCCTGCGCAGGTACACCTCTTGTCCTTCCATCACCGCTGGTCTGGCCTTCCTGCCACCCTGCTGCTGCCGCTGCTCATACCTGTGTGCGTCCCTCAACTGCGCCGTGTGCAGGTTTTCCAGGGCCGCAGGGAGCATCTCCCGCATGTATCGTGCCCGTGCCTCCGCTAGTGCCACCCACTGCTCTGCTCCTGTGACTTGCACCACATCTGTCAGCACCCTCGGTGCTCCCACTGGCAGGATTGGCTCCTTCCCAAACAGCATGCTATACGGGGAATAGTCCTTCAGGGAGGCCTGCTTCCCAAACCGGTACCCCGCCGCAATCCAGTCCAACTCCTCATCCCAGTCTCTCTTGCGCTTCTCTCCATATGCCCTCAGGTTCCGTTTCAGGGTTTGCACCAGGCGCTCAGTCAACCCATCGCTCTGTGGGTGGTACCTAGATGTCAGCCTGTGTGTCACCCTTGCCTCGTCCAGCAGTGCCTGAAATTCCCCTCTGAATTCCGTCCCCTGATCTGTGAGCACTTCCCCTGGTGCCCCAAACCTGCACAGGACCTGTCCCTTGAATGCCTTTGCCACGTGCCTGGAATCTTTGCTCGGCAATGCACACACCTCTACCCACTTGCTCGCGTGTTCCACCATTAGCAGTATATACCGCTTGCCTCCCCTGCTCAGCGGCAGTTCACCAGCTATGTCGAGAGACCACCTGAACCCTAACCCTCTTATCGGCAGTGACTGCAGCTCCTGCTTCGCCTGTGCTAGGCTGGCCTTGCTCCTCTGACAACCTTCGCATCCGCTGACCCATTCCTTGACCTGCCTTCTCATACCCTCCCACCACCAGCCGGTCTTCAACAGTTCCGTCGTGCGCTCGTGCCCGAAGTGCCCCAGCTTCCTGTGCACCTCCTTAATCACTCCCTCCCTGTCCTGTGGTGCAGGTACCAGCTTCCATCCATCCGCCGTCTGTAACTGCAGCTGTCCCTGGTACCATCGGTAATGGTGCCCCCTTGCCCTGACCCTGTCAGAGACCTGCTCCTCCTCATCAGTTTCTCCCTGAATCCATCGCAGTGCTGCTGGATCTTCCCAAATATCCTTTGGCCCCTTTTGCTTCCCTGCTGCTGCCTCTTCCCCTTGCCTTGCCAGCAACATCAGCGTGTGTACTGGCTCTGCTGCCGGCGGGTTCCTTGAGAGCCCGTCCACGTGCTGCAGAGTCTTTCCCGGCCTGTGGCGTATCTTGAAGTCATATTCTTACAGCGTCACGGCCCAACGCGCGTTCCTCCCTGTCAGCCCTTGGTGGGTCATCAGCCATTGCAGGGGTTGATGGTCTGTGATCAGTGTGAACTTCCTTCCCTGCAGGTATACCCTGAAGTGTTTTACAGCCCACACGGCTGCCAGCCCCTCTCCGTGGTAAGAGCTGTACTTGGCTTCCGCTGGGCTGCACCTCCTGCTTGCGTATGCCACAACCCTCTCCTCCCCATCTAACTCCTGGCACAGGATTGCCCCCATGCCTTGGCTGCTCCAGTCGGTGTATAGGCAAAAGGGCTTGTCAGTCTTGGGTAGCTGCAGAATCGTTGCTGTCTGCACCGCTTCCATCAGATCTTTCAATGCTGCTTCCTGCTCCATCCCCCATTCCCACTTCCTGTCCTCCTTCAGCAGCCCGTTCAGTGGTGCAGCCCGCTTGCTGAAATTCGGGACGAACCTGCGGTAATAGCTCAGAAATCCCAGTACCGCCCTTAGTCCGCTTCGGTCCTTTGGCTGCTGCAGCCTTCTCAGCACCTCAATCTTCGCCTGCTGGATCCCTAGCTGCCCGCCCCTAACCTCATAGCCCAGGTACTGCACTGTCGCCTCTCCCCACCTACACTTCTTCGGATGGCATGTCAGCCCAGCTGCTGCCAACGCCTTCAGTGTCTGCTCCACGTCTCTCACATGCTCTTCTTCCGTCCGGCTGAAAATTACTACATCATCTATGTAACACGCCGCGCACTCCAGCCCCCTCAGCACGCTGTCCATTACTCTCTGAAAGATGGCAGACGCGTTTCGCAGCCCGAATGGCATGAACAGCCACTCGTATAGGCCATCTGCTCCATGGAACGCCGTCTTCCGCACGTCCTCTTTCCTTATCCTAATCTGGTTGAACCCCTGTCTTAAGTCTAGCGTGCTAAAGACCTCACCTGCCCCCAGCCGGTCAAAGATATCTTCAGCTGTGGGCATTGGGTAGCGGTCAGGCACTGTCACCTTGTTCAGTGCCCGATAATCCCCACACATGCGTCTGCTCAGCACCTCCCCCAGCAGGTCCTTTCGGGCAGCTACTACTGTCGGTGTTGCATACTCTGATTCCGACCTCTGTATCAACCCTGCTTCCATCAGCTCCTTACATTTCTCCTTGCAGACATCCTCATCTCCAGGGGTCATCCTCCGCTTCCTCTGGAATACCGGCTCATCCGTCACCAGCTTCAGCTCCATCTCCTTCACAGTGCACTTCCCCAGCTCCTGCATAGTAAACGCGAAGGCGTGCCTATACCTCGCCAGCACCGCCTGCATTGCCTCTTTTCCTTTCTCACTCATTGCATTCCCCACGACCCATGCTGGCTCTTCCTTGGCTGCCATGCATACCCATGCCCCCACCTTTTTCACCCTCGTCCCCACACTCTCTTCTCCTCCTTCCTCTTCTAGCACCAGCCCTCTCCACATCCGCCTCAGTAACCACTGCATAACTTGTCCGTCCATGGCCTGTCCTAATGCTCTTCTTCTCTCCTTTTCTGTCACCCCTGCTGCCTTGGTGGCCTCCTCTCCATACCCCATTGCTAATTCCCTTTCTAACGCACTTGGCTCCTCCCATCTCTTCGAACGGCAGTCATACACCATGCCTTCTCCTGGCAGCCCGTCTTCCTCTCTGAACCCAGCTGCCCCTTCGTACCCCACTAATGTCGGCCACGCCCTGCGCTCTGCCCCCACTTTGTTGCATGGGCATTGTGTCTCATGCCTGCCTTTCCTAACAGGTGCCGCTGTCCTACCGGGCTCTAAAATCTCTCGCACGGTCCGGCTCCAGTCCCTGCGTATTCCATCCAGCTCCTGCTGCAGTTGCTCATCTGTGACCACGTTCTGCCAGTATCGCCGGACACGATGAGCTCGTGCCCCCAGCCTGGCCGCATCACATCTTACCCCCTTCCCCAGCTTCCTTGTCACTAACTCCCGCACTTTCCTGACAGGCTCCCTGCAGTCCCCTTCCAGATCCAGGTGCTCCAGCAGGTATACCACCTTCTCTTATCCTTCCTTAATCCAGTCTATGATGCACAGCAAGTTCACTAGCAGCGCCCCTCTTGGATCTCCTAATCCCTTTCCTTTCCCTGCCCTTGACACAGCCTGACACTCCCATCCGGCCACCAGCAGGTCCACATGCCCCCAGCTCCTCACCACCTCCCGCGTGATGCTTCTTACATCAGTCACTGTTCCTCGCATTGCCTTCACTATCACTGCTTCTTCTAGTAGCTCGGGGTACTCTTGCTGCAGCTTTCTCGCATGGTGCTCTGCCATCTTCCTCACCTGTTCGTTATTTTCCACGTATACCCATTCCCTCACGGCCACTCCTGCCTTGAGCACTGCTGCCAGCCCTGCTCCTATTCCCCCGAACAGCTCGACCAGCTTTATCGGCTCTTGCCATGCGTTGACTGCTGCTGCTTTTCCCACGATCCCTGCTCTCCCTCTCTCCCTGGTCCCCATCTGCTCGCCCGTGTACGCCCTCTTTGGCTCCTGCTTAGTGAATGACACAGGCAGCTCTCCCGTCTTGCTCCCCCGCTCCCAATACTGCTTCCGAAACTTTACCTTTTCTTTCCACGTGCAGATGGTCATCCCTACTCCCCAAATCAGGTCTGTGCCTAGCAGTACATCAAAATCTTCTGAGTCTGAAATCCCACACTGCAGCCTTATACTAGTCTGCTCCTCCTTCCCCGGCATCAGGACTATCTCCACTGGAGTCTTGGTGCACGGCAGGGACTTAGGCTCACCTCCCTCTGCTGTCATTACTAGCATTCCTCGTTTTATGTGCTGTCCCGGCCCGTTCAGCCCCAGCTTCTCTGCTAACCGCCTCCCCAACATCACACTCTGTGCCCCCGTATCTATGATCGCAGTTCTTGCCACTTCCCCTCCCACTGCCACTGTTCCCGCTCCTGCCACCAGCACCGTCGCTTGACTGGCTAGCCGTTCCTTGGGATGCCTGGCTGGCTCTTCTTCCCCTCTACCCTTCTCCTCTGGAGCTCTCTTTGGCCTGCTCCTCTCCCTCACCACTTGCTCTTTTCGTCCATCCCTGCCCCCGCTGCGCAGGCCCAACTCCTCTCGGCTGCGCAACACCATGAAATTGTACTCAAGCGCTGGCTCATCTATCACCTCTGCTTCGTCATCCTCTTCCCTTGCATACAATCCTGCCTCTTTCTCCTTCTTCCCTCCCAGTGCCTGCAGCTGCGCTTGCAATCTCCCTATCTGCCCTTCTATCTCCTCTGGCGTCCTCCTTGGCCCTCCTGTGCGTTGGTAGCAGTCCTTCCCCTTATGCCCCCGCTTCCCACACACCTCGCAGCTGGGTGCATCCGGGCAGTCCCTTCGGCGGTGTCCTGGCTTCCCACAGGTGTCGCAATTCCTGCAATTTCTCATCAGATGCCCTGGCTGCTTGCATCGGTGGCAGGTGCGTGTCTCAGCTCCTCTTTCCTGTCGGCTCTCTTCTCTTCCTCCCGTCTCAGGTATCATTGCTGCAGCCCAAGCAGGATTCTTCCTCTCTGTTGGCCGCGGCAGGTACACCTCATACTTTCTCTGTGCCAGCTCCACTCTCTCTGCTAGCTCAAACACCTCTTCAGGTGTCGCGTCTGCTCCCAGCTCGTAGACCCGCATTCTCAGTCCCCCTGCCAGTCCCTTGTCCAGCCCATTTAGGAATTTACTAATGACCATACTGCTGTCCGTGCACACCACGTCCTCCGCTAGATTCATCAGCCGGCCGTAGTACGTTAGCAAAGATTCCTCGTCCCTCCTCTTGAACTCTTGAAACTCTTTGATGCGCGCCGCTGTGTGCCCTGGAAACTGCTTTCTCAGCCGGTCCAGAAATAGCACCGTCGGGTCCTCCTCATCTTCATCGGCCCTCCTCAACCACTCTCCCATCTTCATGCGATATAGGGTTTCTGCTTCCCCCCCGAGTGTGTTTGGCAGGCTCAAGAAGAAGTCTATGGGGTCCATCCCGCTTCGATCGCACCGATACTTCACATTGCTGATCTGCATCAGGTAGTTCTTGAGGCTTGGTCCTGTGTTCTCGTTCCCTGTGAAGCGCACCGGCACCTCCACCCGTGGTGCTGCCGTTGCGCCCCATCTCCCCCAATCCCAACTCCCCGAGCCTCCCCGATCTGGCAGAGCAGCCCCTCGCTGCTTTCCTTTGTCTCCTCTGCTTCCTGCGCTTGTCCCGTACAGTGCTCGCTCCAGTCCCTCACGAGCTGCCCTGGCCCCACTAGATCCTTCTCCATGCTGCCATAGCCTCCTAGTGCCACTTGGACTCCGACCTTTCCTCTGGTCGTCTTCGCTCTGTCTCCTGCACCTTTCCTGATCCTCCCAACGTCCATTTCCCCGCACAGGTGAACGTTCCTGGCGATGCCACTCTTGCTCCCTCCGCTGCCGACCTCCTCCTTCTGCTCTGGAGCCGTGCGGTGATCGCCTTCCCCTTTCTCGTCCTTCTCTGTTGCACACCCGCTCCCACTCAGGCGGGCTCTGCTGACGTCGCTCCTCATAGTCCAACCTCTCTTCCCGCTGTTCCCGCTCGGCCCACCGACCTTCACCCATCGCCATGCGCCGTCGGCGGTCATATCCTGGTCTCGGCTCAGGCGAGCGGTAGACACCCGCTGATGCTCTCTTTCCCTCTCCCTGCCGTCCCGCAGGTGAGTACTCCTCGTTCCCGTGCTCCTCGTCCTCCCCCCGCACCTTTCCGTGTCGGGCTCGCTCCCTTTCATCCCTCCTCTTGTACCTCTGCCCTCCTCCTTCCCGCGCAACAGGGAAAGCCTGCTCGTCGTTGGCGATGTCGCGCTTTCCGCCGCCCCGCGGAGTGGGGAACTCCTCCTCGTCGGCCGCGTCACGCCTTCCGCCGCCCCGCGCAGTGGGCAATCCGTCGTCGTCGGCGTTTTCACGCCTTCCGCCGGCCCGCGCAGTGGGCGATCCGTCGTCGTCGGCGTTTTCACGCCTTCCGCCGCCCCGCGCAGTGGGCGATCCGTCGTCGTCGGCGTTTTCACGCCTTCCGCCGGCCCGCGCAGTGGGCGATCCGTCGTCGTCGGCGTTTTCACGCCTTTCGCCGCCCCGCGCAGTGGGCGATCCGTCGTCGTCGGCGTTTTCACGCCTCCCGCCGCCCCGCACAGTGGGCGATCCGTCGTCGTCGGCGTTTTCACGCCTTCCGCCGCCCCGCGCAGTGGGCGATCCGTCGTCGTCGGCGTTTTCACGCCTTCCGCCGCCCCGCGCAGTGGGCGATCCGTCGTCGTCGGCGTTTTCACGCCTTCCGCCGGCCCGCGCAGTGGGCGATCCGTCGTCGTCGGCGTTTTCACGCCTTTCGCCGCCCCGCGCAGTGGGCGATCCGTCGTCGTCGGCGTTTTCACGCCTCCCGCCGCCCCGCACAGTGGGCGATCCGTCGTCGTCGGCGTTTTCACGCCTTCCGCCGCCCCGCGCAGTGGGCGATCCGTCGTCGTCGGCGTTTTCACGCCTTCCGCCGCCCCGCGCAGTGGGCGATCCGTCGTCGTCGGCGTTTTCGCGCCTTCCGCCGCCCCGCGCAGTGGGCAATCCGTCGTCGTCGGCGTTGTCACGCCTTCCACCCGTCCCGCGTTGGCCTTCTGCCAGGTTCCACGGGTTGCTGATCGTCGGCCGCCTCCACGGCTCTGACCTGACGCGCAGGTCCTCCCCGCTTTCTTCCCTTCGCACGTCCGTCGGCGTCACCGGATCCGCGCGGTACGCCGCCCGACGTGGCGAGCGCGTCGGCGATCTCCCGCGCTCCCTCGAGCGTCTCCTCCGCGACGGAGATCGTTCCCGCCGTGAGTACGTACGCTGCACACGTTGATCGTGGCAATCCATGTCGCCAGTAAGGTCTCTCTCGTTTTGTGAGAGATTCCTACCCCCACAAGCTGGCTGCCCTCAGTGGCGTATCACCTAGCTGCCGTAGCCTTAGAACGGTGAATTGAATCCACTATAGTAGGCAAACAAAACGAGAGAGCAGGTTCTAGTGTCTAGGCTAGGCTGCTTTATTCCCTACCCAGAGTCACGACCATTTCCATGGCCTTGGGTTGGGTTCGAGTCGCCATGTGCCTTACTGGTTGCTTGCAGATTCCCTGCTCCTCGAGGCGCTTGTAGCTCTTCCCAATGTCCCAATTCCCCATGCTACCAACTTCGCGTCATTCCCTTGAAGCTCAACAACCCCTCTGTAAAGTTGCATAACCCCAATCCTACACCTCACTACACCAACTATAGCGTACAACCAAATATATTGTTCTTTACCACTGTATTTGGTGACACTCGGGGTGATGGTTAGTGGCATCTCGGGGTGATGGTTAGTGACATCTCGGGGTGATGGTTAGTGGCATCTCGTGGTGATGGTTAGTGGCATCTCGGGGTGATGGTTAGTGGCATCTCGGGGTGATGGTTAGTGACATCTCGGGGTTATGGTTAGTGACATCTCGGGGTGATGGTTAGTGACATCTCGGGGTGATGGTTAGTGGCATCTCGGGGCGATGGTTAGTGGCATCTCGGGGTGATGGTTAGTGGCATCTCGGGGTGATGGTTAGTGGCATCTCGGGGTGATGGTTAGTGGCATCTCGGGGTGATGGTTAGTGGCATCTCGGGGTGATGGTTAGTGGCATCTCGGGGTGATGGTTAGTGACATCTCGGGGTGATGGTTAGTGGCATCTCGGGGTGATGGTTAGTGGGATCTCAGGGTGATGGTTAGTGGCGTCTCGGGGTGATGGTTAGTGGCATCTCGGGGTGATGGTTAGTGGCATCTCGGGGTGATGGTTAGTGGCATCTCGGGGTGATGGTTAGTGGCATCTCGGGGTGATGGTTAGTGGCATCTCGGGGTGATGGTTAGTGGCATCTCGGGGTGATGGTTAGTGACATCTCGGGGTGATGGTTAGTGGCATCTCGGGGTGATGGTTAGTGACATCTCGGGGTGATGGTTAGTGACATCTCGGGGTGATGGTTAGTGGCATCTCGGGGTGATGGTTAGTGGCATCTCGGGGTGATGGTTAGTGACATCTCGGGGTGATGGTTAGTGACATCTCGGGGTGATGGTTAGTGACATCTCGGGGTGATGGTTAGTGACATCTCGGGGTGATGGTTAGTGGCATCTCGGGGTGATGGTTAGTGGCATCTCGGGGTGATGGTTAGTGACATCTCGGGGTGATGGTTAGTGGCATCTCGGGGTGATGGTTAGTGGCATCTCGGGGTGATGGTTAGTGGCATCTCGGGGTGATGGTTAGTGGCATCTCGGGGTGATGGTTAGTGACATCTCGGGGTGATGGTTAGTGGCATCTCGGGGTGATGGTTAGTGGCATCTCAGGGTGACGGTTAGTGACACACAGAGCCAATCGCCCCGCTTCCACCGCTCCCTCGTCAACGCCAGTCTGCACATCGCCAGTCTGCGCATCGCCAGTCTGCACATCGCCAGTCTGCACATCGCCAGTCTGCACATCGCCAGTCTGCACATCGCCAGTCTGCACATCGCCACTTTCGCCAAGGGCAGCCCGGTGCGTCCCCGGTGATGGCATGGCAAAGGGCAGCCCGGTGCTGCTAGTGGCAGGGGTGCGGCACGGCCAACTGGTAGAAGGGTGCGTTACAACAGAAGGGTGGTATCTCACCTGCTCCCTCCCCCCCCCACTTCCTGCTTCCCCCCGTTTCCCCATTCCTCCGCCTCCCCTTCTTTCCAATGCAGATGAGTCCTATCTAGCTGCTTCCCCCTTTCCCCCTTCCTCCCTGCACCTTCTCGTCAACTCCCGCTTCCCTCACTTCCTGCTTTCCCCTGTTTCTTCCCCCCCTCTCCCCTCTCCCCCTCCCCCTCCTCCCAGGGTATTACCTCCTTAAGATGATCCCCCGCCCACCCGCTCCCCCCTCCCCTTGCCTCCCTCTCACTCACTCCACTGCAGCTGTCTCATTCCGTCACCACTGGAGTTCTGAGTCGATCCCTTCCCTCTCTTCCCCTCCCTGCACCCCCTGTATCCCCCGACTCCCCCATCCCCCCGTGGGGTCGTTTTAAGATGCCTTCACCAGTGGAGTTCAGAGTCAACTCAATAGTCCCTCGCCTCCCCTCTCCTCCCCTCCCCTGCACCCACTGTTTCCCCCTCCCCTCCCCCATCCCCTCACCACAGCACTCCCTCAAGAACGACTCGTTTTAAGATGCCTTCACCAATGAAGTTCAGAGTCAACCCTTTCGATGAGGCCTTCACAAGTGGTGTCTTCCTATTTGCCAAGAAGTTTCCTCGCGGCTCACCGACTCTGGATAGGATTGACAGGTACGAGAGCGAGTCAAGCAAGGGAATCCAGTCAAGAAAAGTCAACCCACTCATCTCAGTCAACCCACTCATCTCAGTCAATCAACCCACTCATTTTAGTCAACCCACTCATTTTAGTCAACCAAGTCAGCAAAGTCAACCGAGTCAACCCGGTGAACTAAGTCAACCTAGTCAACCCAGTCAACCAAGTCAACCCAGTAAACCAAGTCAACCCTGTCAAGCAAGCACCGAGTCAATCATAGTGAATCACGGGCTACTAGTTCAGACCCTACAAGTACATACCTCAAGACTCTCTCTCCAAGATAACCATCACAAGGAGCTACGTCATTGCTCCTCCCTATCCCTCCTCTGCCTAGTTCAGGTACTGTAGGTTCAGGGAACTCTGGTGTTGAAGTGTACCTATTGAGTCTCACTAGGGTAACTCATCACAGGGAGCTTCCAACCCTCTTTATCCCTCCTCTGCCTTACGTAACCCCATTCTTCCCATCCGTCCATACCCTCGTCTTCCCTCACCCATCTTCCCTTCACCCCATCTCACCTCTTCCCATCCTTCCATACCCCCATCCCCCCTCACCCACCTTCCCTATTTCCATCCTTCTTTACACCCATCTTCCTGTTTCCGTTTCCCCACCCTTCCTTTTCGCACCCCCCTCCTGTGCTCGCAGGGAGCTACTGCAACGGCAGCCTGACAGCATCACCCCTGACGCCTGGTGCTCTCTCCCTGCCTTCGCTGCCTCGGTTTCCCTCCCTTCTCATCCCTCTTACCATCCTCCTGTAACCCCACACTCCCTCTTCCCATTATCCCCATCCCATGCTCGCAGGGAGCTACTGCAGCGGCAGCCCGACAGCATCACGCCAGTCACCTGGTGCTCTCTCCCTGCCTTCAGTGTTGCATCGCCTCCCACATCCCACTCATCCTCCCCTATACCCGTCCTCCATGCTCCCCGCCCATCCTCCCGTTCTTGCTTGCAGGGAGCTACTGCAGCGACAGCCTGACAGCATCACGCCAGGCTCCTGGTGCTCTCTCCCTGCCTTCAGTGATGCATCGCCTCCCACATCCCACTCATCCTCCCCTATACCCGTCCTCCATCCTCCCCGCCCCATCCTCCCGTTCTTGCTTGCAGGGAGCTACTGCAGCGACAGCCTGACAGCATCACGCCAGGCGCCTGGTGCTCTCTCCCTTCCTCCTCTGCTTCGCCTTCCAATGTTCCACTTACCACCCAGCGATGGCACCACTGACAGTACCAGCGGCACCAGCAGCAGCAGCAGCAGCAGTGTTGGTGTTATAGGCTGGCTGCAGCGGTTGCTCTCCCCTGCACCGTGCAACCATTACAGGAGGCAGGCTCCTGTGAATACCCCTTTCATAGTCACATCACATGGTGAAAGCGTAACCTGCAACAGGGGGACAACTGCAACTGGAGGTGATACTATCGAGAGTGGAGCTGGCTGCCCGTCTACAGTAAACACCACGTTAGTAGCCTCCTTGAGACTAGCACCAAGCAAACGGGTAGAGGCCATGCTGCCTCGGTTTCTCATGTTGTTAGACATGAGCAACTCATGCCGAGTGCCCGAGGGGGATGCGAGGTTGACAAACGGAGAGTGGAAGGACGAAGAGGTCCCAAATATTGAGAAGTATCAGATCTGATTTGATATGAAAGTACGGTACGTGTGGTTGCCAAGGACTCGTTTGAGCCTACCGTGTTTGATATTGTATGGTACCTGTGTAGATTAGTGTTATAAGTATCTTTGTTGCTGGTGCACAGGGCCCTAGATATCAGACTTTGGAGTCTGATTCAGAGTCCGTTCAGACTTTTTTTTTTTACCTAGTCTGAACTCCAAGAATTTTTTTATGCACCCTGTCTGATTTTTCAGAGTTTTTTTAACTGACTTGTCTGAAATTTCAGCGTAGTCATAGTACCGTCATACCCCGGAAAAGCCCCCATGGGGGGCAATAATAAAACATGTTTTTTTTAGGGGGTGGGCTTATAATCGAGTAAATTTATAAGCGCCGGGGCTTATACAGTGACATATATGAAATCTAGTTGTTTTCACTTCAAAATGTTCATCTTGTCATTGCGATTTCAAATGAGTCAAGATCATAGTGGGTGTGAAGAAGAATCTCGCGTAAGTTTGCCAACTGCCAACACACACAGTCAGAATGAGTCATTTCGCCCCATGACAGCTCATTCTGACTGGACGCGCAGTCAGTTGAGTCGCGCGAGGGTGGGGCAGTGAGTCCCGTGAGGGTGAAGGGTCGAAATTTCACCAAGTGAGGATGCAAATAGTGTGTTTCGCTACAAGATTCCAGTAACTTTATAAAAAACTAATACAAATGGTGGCTCTTATAATACGTAAGCCTTCAGTGGGTGCCCTTATAATCAAGCACCGGATATAAGCGCCACACGCCAATTAAAAGCGCCAGGCGCTTATCCGCGGGTGGCGCTTATATCCGGGGTATGACGGTAGTGTAGGCTGAGCCTCAGACTTGTTTCGGGGGTCCACTCTGAAACCAGTTATACAGGGGTTTCCGCCAGCCTGAATGAAAGGTTATTGAAACGAAACTTCCTCGAAACTTCTTTTCGATACACCCACGTGTGTACGGGCCAGCACTAACGATTTCCTCCGGATAAAATTGCTCGAGTTGGGGCACCAGAATACACTACTTTGTCGACGCTATCACGAGTGTCGAATTCATTGGGGGCTTATAATAACCCTTAAATTATGAAACTAGATAGCCAATCGCACATGGCCAAAACGATTTTAGCGACTCGCACATGGCGAAAAGCGAATTGGTGCAAACGAAAGCCTTGTCACATATGAGTCTCGTACTTCAGCAGAACCGCACATCATTTCCCCTTGCCAAACCGAGTATAAATTTAGAAGTTGCAACTTGCAGAAAATATTCCACGCACATACGGTGTACACGGTTGAAAACTCTTGCTGCTGCCAGCGCGCCCAGCACAGAAAAGTGCCGAGCGATACCGTGCCTGCTGCCAGGTCAGCTGATTGTGAGCTTTGCCACACTTGGCACTTGCACGAGGCCATTGTCTGAGGGTTTTGAGTTGATCACGCAATGTTACCCACACCTCGACCCTGACTACTCAGTGTTCCTAACTCTTGAAAAATGGCCAATCAGAGTGCCCCATTTCTGGCCGCACATCTGCGTTGGTATGCTGTAATCAGCTTCAATGCTATTATAACTATGCTGTTATGAAACTGCATGAACATCTTAAAATTTGAAGTAACTCTCACAGTTCAGACAAAAAAAATTGTGCTTGTCTGAATTTTCAGAATAGAAAAAAAGGTAACTCTGACGGCCAGACTAGGAAGAGGGGTGTACTCTGAGGCGTCAGACTACCTCAAAACGAATCTAGGGGCCTGGTGGTGCACTTTTATGCCCATCTTTGGATTGTTCTTCTTACGGTATTTGTGAGAAAACTGAAACAAGAATGGAATGACTAAGTGAAAGTTGGGTGCAAGTATGAACCCTCGAAAGCTGTACCCCATATGTGCTACCACACTATAGCCTACAGTAGCTATCTCATATAAATCTGACACACCCCCATAGGCAAAGTGGGGGAGAACAAGGGGTCACAAGACCAATTAAGCAAATCAAGCTCAGGGTGGATCACAAAGTCACCACACATTCCGAGCACAAGTTCAAGGCCACAAGGCCAGTTCAGATGCAGGAGTACATATATATATAAGGCTAGACAAGCAAGAGCAGGTATATATATATATATATATATATATATATATGTAACAGTACAAGTAAGGTCAAGAGGTGAGCAAGTGAGGCAAGACGGGCACAAGACCGAGCTGAGTGCAGAAGCGCTGATGATCACAAGGCGCAAGTGCCTTGGTGAAGACATCAGCACTGTTGGCCTCAGAGGCCACGTACGCAAGCCGCAACTGACCACGCTGCTGTAGCTCACGAGCAAGGAAGTAGCGGAGAGCAATGTGCTTTGTTCTGTGCTCCAGTCTCTGCTCTCGACACAAGGCCAGCATGGCCTTGTTGTCTACGTACAGAACTGGAGGAGAACGAGGCGGCTCTCCGAGGTCAGTCAGCAGGTAGGTGAGCCAGCGAAGCTCCTGTGCAGCCATGGCCCCTGCGTAGATCTCAGCCTCACAACTGGAGCCGAGAACAGAAGACGAGCGAGTAGCACTCCACAAAACAGAGCCAGAACCAAGGCTGAAGGTGTAACCCTGTGACGACCGCTGCGTAGCCTGGTCGTCAGCCCAAGAAGCGTCTGCGTGCCCAGTGAGGACCACCGGACTCCGCCCTCCAAGCACTAGCCCCATGCCCGACGTACTGCACAAGTAGCGCAACACCCTCTTCGCTGCAGCCATGTGCTCCGGTCTGTGTCTCCCAGGAGCAACATAGCGTGCGAGAATGCTAAGAGGGTATGCAAGGTCAGGTCGTGTGCAGGTCATCAGGTACATGAGGCAGCCAAAAAGCTCTGGATACGTGCCACTCGACTCTACGGACTCATCCGAAGGCAGAGTTGAGAGCGAGTGGCGAGTAGGCAGAGGAGTGGCCTGAGGCGAGGAGTACGTGAAGCCTAAGCGCTGAAGGACCTGCTGCACCATGTGTGACTGAGTCAGGGTAATGGTGCGGCGAGCTCTGTCCCGGGTGATCTGCAAGCCAAGGTAGCTACGCATTTCACCCAGGTCTGTGCACGTGTGTCTCTCCTGCAGCTCGGACTTCACGTAGGCTAGTCCAGCAGTGTCAGCTGTGGCAAAGACCAAGTTGTCGACGTACACGAGGATGTAGAACGGCAGCAAAGAGGTGTCGGTGCGCAGAAACAGCGACGGGTCGGCAGTAGAAGTGGCAAACCCAAGAGCCGCAAGTGTAGTCCTCAATGTGTCGTGCCACTCGCGCGGTGCCTGGCGGAGGCCGTAGACTGGCTGCCGGAGGCTCCACTTGGTGCCAGGAGGAAAAGACCCATTGAAGCCAGGTGGGCGGCGCAGCCAGATCTCATCGTGCAGGCTGCCCTGCAAGAAAGCAGTGCTGAAGTCAAGATAGTGCAGCTCGTAGTCATGGTGAGCAGCTACGTGCAGCAGTACCCGAAGAGTGGTCATCTTCGGGGTGGGAGAGAAGGTCTGAAAGTAGTCAACTCCCTGCTGCTGACTGAAGCCACGAGCCACGTAACGCGCCTTGAAGACAGGCGGAGAACCCGACGGCCGCTTCACCCTGAAAATCCACATGCCACTGACGATGTTCGCCCCAGGAGGGGGAACCTCGTCAATATAGGTGCCTGTGGACTTCTAGGAAGCCATCTCTGTATCCATAGCTGCCTGCCACTAAGAGGAGTAGGGACCCTCTATCGCCTCAGCGTAAGAGCGCGGAGTCGGGATGTCAAGTGCATCCGGGTCTCCCTCAGGGGTAAGTAGTACGGACACGAGATGAGGTGAAGCAGCAGCCAGATACTTGAACTTCTCCTGCCTGTCCTCAAGGACGTCCGTGCCAAGGGCACACTCACCCCCGACGGACGGAGGACAGACAGACTCAGACTCAGCGACAAGACTAGCAGCGTAGTCTAGGCGACAGCGAGCAGCAAAGTCGACGAGCTCAGCAACTAGGGCAGACGCAGCAGTGGACTCAAAGGAAGGGTCAGTGACGACAGTAGCAAGGAGACGCGTGACAGTAGGACTGGCAGCACGAAGAGAGTCCGACTCCGGGTCGGGAAGAGCAGGAAGAGCAGGAAGAGAGGACTCTGGAGGAGAAGTCAAAGGGGCACGCAGAGGAGCAGTGGACGGACGCAGAGACATCAGGTGCGTGCCAGGGACAGGAGGAGGACGCGGACGCGAACCACGACCACTAGTGCGAGCAGGACGGACAGGCGACGCAGGGCGAGACGTAGGCTCACGACGCGCAGCAAGACCTCCAGTAGGACCAGTGTAGGGAGAAGGAGCAGGTAAGGGGGAGGCCGGCTGTAACTGTAACTATGACGGGACCAGCACCCTCAGCAGCCGAAGAACCTCCAGCTCCAGCAGCACGCCTCCAGCGCCGGGCAAACCACTCGCGTAGCTCCGGTGGAGAGAGTGGCTCCCGCCGAGACGAAGCACCCGGAGAACCTCCAGGTCCAGCACCACCAGACGCCACACAAACAGGTCCAGCTCCCTCAGGCTCCACACCTCCAGGCGT